CTTCTCGGAAATCTTTAAAGATGTGGGCGCAGGACCCATTTTAAAATCGTTAGTGGGCGATTGTGGGCGTTAGAGGGGGCGTGGCGCTCGGCTAAAATAAACTTGCGCTGCGTAGGAAGCCAAAGAATATGTGTGGGAAATCTCAACCTTCTAGCTTTTGTAGTTTCTGAGATCTCAGCGTTCATACAGACGGACAGACAGACAGACAGACAGACAGACAGACAGACAGACGGACAGACGGACAGACGGACAGACGGACATGGCTAGATCGACTCGGCTAGTGACCCTGATCAAGAATATATATACTTTATGGGGTCGGAAACGCTTCCTTTTAGCTGTTACATACTTTTGCACGAATCTAGTATACCCTTTTACTCTACGAGTAACGGGTATAATTAGTATAAGATATTTGTAATTCAAAATTTTAGCTAAAATATTTCCATCTAAAATTAATGCCACGATATCTTTTTGAAACCAGCGACATAAGGTTTTTTATGGCTAGAGTGGGAGCTCTGGAAAGCTTTTCACCCTTTCACCCCCGCCACCATGCGATAATATATCGAAGGCAGACCGGCAAAAGCTTTAGCTTATTGTGTTTGCCGCATTTCGCTTTGCTTTAGTATTCTCTTGAGGCCAGCTGCGATTGGATTGGCAACGATTTTTGCAATTAAATAAAAAGATAGTACAACTACTTAGTGCATTTAACAATGTCGCAGATCTGTAAGCGCGGTTTGTTGATCAGCAACCGATTGGCGCCCGTCGCCGCCCTCCGCTGCAAGTGAGTAGGGGCGAAAGAGAGGGCGATAGACCGGGGGAAAGGGACGGCAGGCCGCTGAACACGTTGCAGATGCAGCGGTGTCATTTGCCAAGGTCATTGCAGTTGCCGGTCGAATTGCGCTTATTTGTGTTTGTTTTCTCCATTACTGCATAATTTGTTTGTCCTTGCGAATTTGTTCGCCGTTTTTTAGCGTTATACTATATCTTTCTCTGGATTTATTGTTATATCAGCGCAGGGGCTTTGTATATTTCATCATCATTCTCATTGCGAAAATCTAAAACAATGATATCCACTGCTTCCAGCTGTTTTTATCTTTCGCGCTAATATTTGCATATGATTTGGGTTCGGTACTATACTATATAGACTAATTTTCCAATTACGTATGAACGTGTATTTATTTTTAAAGCCAATTTTATGACGCTCCATGCTATTTTTTGCCAATTTCTTTCCGCTCGGGAGAACATTTTGAAACCACATGATGAATAGGTTAGAAGATAACGACTTCCAAATGCGGTACAGGAAGTTAGAAAATTAAATATTAAATGTAGTAAATGTATTTAATATTTTATTGTGATTACAAAATTAAATATTAAATGTAGTAAATGTATTTAATATTTTAGTGTGTTTACAAAATTAAATATTAAATGTAGTAAATGTATTTAATATTCTAGTGTGATTAGAAAATTTTAAAATTATTTTTAAAGAAGAGTTTTATAAGTAAAATCTTAAAATTAGGTTAGCTTTGTTGTATCTTAAAGAATCAGCCATGAAAAAATCCTCAGAAATCATTTTTAAATCAAAATTTTTAGTTTTGTTTGAAACAAAATTTGTTCTTACCTCCACATGACCATCCAAATTTGTAACGCTATGAACAGAAGCATTTTGATGACGCTGAAGGATATTGTTCATGTGTGGTCCAACGACCCCGGGCAGCGGACATGGCGGGCGAAAAGAGCGTAGGGTATTCGTGGTCATATCACGCTTATGTCGCGTGCTTTGATTTCCATTTTATGGAGCTACTTCTTTCGTTATAAGGCGGCTTGTTTTATCGAACTGCAGAAGGTTCCCATTCCCAATAGAAATCAAACAAATCAGTTCCGAATACAGGTGGCAGCTAATTGAAAGAGTTTAATTAAGTTTGATATTTCCACGATTTATTACCGCTCGGAATAATAAGAAAGAGACTCGGGAAGCCGGCTACGTCAGCAAACAATCATCGACCTTATCGCTGACGTAGGCTTTAATGGATCTATATTGTGTGTTCTGTAAATCGTCGACCGAGTTCCCATAATAACATGTTTACAGCTGATAAGGGGTGGGCTTTCTCAGACTCCCCTGTCCAGGGGGTTTAAGGTGGTGCGTTGCCACACTCAGAAAATGAATCGCCCTGAATTTTAGAAATCCGCCTATGGATTTGCTTCACTGGCGATTTTTTTCTTTAAAATAAAAAAATTTTCTACTGGTAAAGAAAATGTTCTTCAAATTAATCAAAATTTATTAAATTCAAGAAATATTCCAGAAATATAGAAAAAAATCGCCAGTAAAGCAAATCCATAGGCGATTTTCTAAAATTTTTTTTTGAGTGCAGTGGGTGCGAACTCCAAGAAAACCTCCAGATGACTTTCAAACTTTAGTCACGAAACCGAAATGATAAATGATAGCCACAAGTGGCAGACGTGGATGAGATAACCCACTAAGCAGTTTTCTAATCTTACCAATTAAATTTAAACCAGATAAGAACAGCATGGGGTGTACTTTTTATAAGGGGGGTTAAAGGTTGATAGGACGGAAATGCAGATTGGTCATAAAAAGTAGAAAATCAGAAAAAAACGTTATAAATTTTTAACCTTTTGGTATTCCTAATTTTTAATCATTCCTTTGATAAATCAAACAATAAAAACACTTGAAACTTTATAACCTTGAATATTTAATGTTGTTCAAGGTTAAAACTTTTAATAACTACATTTTTATAAAACTAATTTTCTTTTCTTTATTTTTCCTAGATCAACATGGTTCTCTGAGGTGCAAATGGGTCCTCCTGATGCCATTTTGGGCGTCACAGAGGCCTTCAAGAAGGACAAGAACCCGAAGAAGATCAACTTGGGCGCTGGCGCCTATCGTGATGACAACACTCAGCCCTTTGTGCTGCCAAGTGTTAGGGAGGTGGGTTTAGATTTAGATATAGGTTAGCCCATTAATTTTACTAAATTAAATATTTTTTAATATCAGGCTGAGAAGCGAGTACTGAGCCGTAATTTGGACAAGGAATACGCCACTATTATTGGACTGCCCGAGTTCTACAACAAGGCCATCGAACTGGCTTTGGGCACGGTAATTATAGATTGTATAACTATAAAATATCTCTTATAATAATCACTAAAATCCACTGTCATTCCAGGGTTCCAAGCGTCTGGCGGCCAAGCACAATGTGACCGCCCAGTCGATCAGTGGAACCGGCGCTCTGCGCATCGGAGCCGCCTTCCTGGCCAAATTCTGGAAGGGCAACCGCGAGATCTACATCCCATCGCCATCGTGGGGCAACCATGTGGCCATTTTCGAGCACGCCGGTCTGCCGGTGAATAGGTATCGCTACTACAACAAGGACACCTGCGCCTTGGACTTTGCAGGACTGATCGAGGATCTGAAGGTGAGAAACGGGTATAAGTACACCCAAAAAAAAATCGATATGAAACGCAAAACGATTTTACAGTATGTAATATCAATTTTAACTTGATATGGTGTAAATTTGATATGGTCGAAATGAGTATTTCATGTAAAAACGATATGGGTTTTGCTTAACCAGAAATTTACATGCACATATAGATTTTACGGCGACATTCTTTTTTTTTTGTGTACTATTAATACTAAAAATACTTGACCCAATGAAACGCAGATCGATTTTACATTATGTTATATCAATTTAAACTTGATATGGGGTAAATTTGATATGGTCGAAATGAGTATTTCATGTAAAAACGATATGGATTTTGCATAACCAGAAATTTACATGCACATAAAGATCGATTTTACATTATTTAATATCAATTCGAACTTGATATGGTCGAAATGAGTATTTCATGTAAAAACGATATGGGTTTTGCATAGCCAGAAATTTATATTATTTTATTATATATTATATTATATTGATACTAAAAAAATACTTACCCCTATGATTTCTTACAGAAAATCCCCGAGAAAAGCATCGTTCTGCTGCACGCCTGCGCCCACAACCCCACGGGAGTCGATCCCACTTTGGAGCAGTGGCGCGAGATCTCGCAGGTGGTGAAGAAGCGCAACCTGTACCCCTTCATCGACATGGCCTACCAGGGATTCGCCACCGGCGACATCGATCGCGATGCCCAGGCGGTTCGCACCTTCGAGGCCGATGGCCATGACTTCTGTTTGGCCCAGAGTTTCGCCAAGAACATGGGTCTGTATGGCGAGCGTGCCGGCGCCTTCACTGTTCTGTGCTCCGATGAAGAGGAGGCCGGGCGTGTGATGTCCCAGGTGAAGATCCTCATCCGTGGCCTGTACTCCAATCCCCCTGTTCATGGAGCCCGGATTGCCGCCGAGATCCTCAACAACGAGGATCTGCGCGCCCAGTGGCTGAAGGATGTCAAGCTGATGGCCGACCGCATCATCGATGTGCGCAGCCAGCTGAAGAACAACCTGCTGAAACTGGGCTCCAGCCAGAACTGGGACCACATCGTCAACCAAATCGGCATGTTCTGCTTCACTGGTTTGAAGCCCGAGCAGGTCCAGAAGCTGATCAAGGAGCACAGCGTCTATCTGACCAACGATGGACGCGTTTCGATGGCGGGAGTCACCAGCAAGAATGTGGAGTACCTGGCCGAGAGCATACACAAGGTCACCAAGTAGAAAGTCACCGGTGGAGATCGAAGTAGAGATGGAGTTTCAGTAGTACCTTCTTAGCGGCACCTGTACGAATTTTGCAGCACCAACGAAATCAAGAACTCTAGTTAAACCAATGCATTTTGCACACTCTCTATCTATATCTCTGTATATAAGCTAAATGATCTGCCTTTTTGAAAGTAAAGCATTTTAAATGATAGAAAATATACAAGTATGTAATTATTTCGAGGAGAAATATGAGATATAAACAAATATTTGGTTAATTACAGTCATGGAAAGTGTTAGTTAATCAAATTAGTATTAAATCGGACCACACTTACGCTACTAACAAAAGTATAAAAGCTTGCAGTTAATTTTTCATTTAGATAATCATATTTTACTAGCATCCAATTTTTATTTACAACTAGGATCACGGTTTGTTATAACGATATCTTAACTTATCGCTCGGTTCGCAGTACTCCTTGATAATGAGCTTGCACAGGAATATGTGGAATACTATGATTATTGCACACACGGAAACCCAGAAAAGCGTAGGCAGTCCACCCAATTGGTGGCCATGCCGATGCAGGGCGATCAAATGCTGCTCATGGGCGGGAGCTGCAAATAGAGATCAAAATAATTAGAGAACGATCTTCTTTACTGATCAAATAACTCACCTTCTACCACTTCCTTTACATGAATGGCATGATGCAGCTCTTCCATGTGCTGCTTGTCCTCGGTTATGTATAATATTGCTGTCAGAGGTTCAGTCAATTTAACTGGGAATTGTCGTCGATTTGGCCTAAAAAATAGAAAGATTTTTTATATAAAGCACTTAAGGATTGCTTATATATTAAATTTACGTTAGCAGCACGGGCTCATCCAGGCAGCCGCCATCGCAGGCATAGTAACTCCTGTCCGAGCGATCCAGCGCCACATTGATCACCGCCTTGTTGTCATCCTTCACAATTATGGTGACATTGACATGGGTTTTATTGCCGTAGTTGAGGCGGCGGAAGTGAAAGTCCCTGTGCAGAAACTTTGGATGGATATTGCACTCCAGGTGCTGATTGCTAAAGCGAAAGCTGCCGAAGCTGAGGACCATTCCTTGGATGACGCCCGAGGCTCCAGCTCGTATGAGATTGTGGCAGCCTTGCTTCTCCAACGTCAGCATCCACGATGTAACTAGGGAATTGAGCTGCTGCAGATTTGACATCTCACGCCAGAGATTCTCCGCCTGCAGGGTGTGATACGAATCGTAGCAACCTTCGGCGTAGGTGAGTGCCTTGGCTATATCCTCCTTTTTCGCGGCGCCCGTCTCCTCGAACTCGAAGCTGCGCACCTGCGAGAGAACCGCATACATGGTGGCATTGATGCGGTCGCCATTCAAGCTGTTCTCCGCCTTGGAGGTGCTTATCGTAAAGCCAGTGGCCCACAAATCCGTCCACACGTCGATGTGCTCCTGCCGGTAGGTGTTTATGCTGCTAAGGGATCCCGGATTCGAGGCCTTTGAGCCCAGTTTCTGCAGCAGCTTGACCATCGCCTGGGTGGCCTGCTGTTCGGTCGCCTCGCTGATGCCTTTTACTTGGGCTTCCGGCACTGGTTTCGAGTACTGCACTGCTAAAGGATACACTATTCTAACTGTTCCTCGCTTCCTCAGCTGCAGCTTGGAGTCCAACTGGGGTTTTACAATGCTTATTACAATGGTTTTACTGGGAGTTTCCGGCTGAGGCTGCACCAAGCCTGTGAGAACCTCCAGCTCGGTGTAGGTAAAGACTCCAACGGAGATGGGTTCACTAAAACGGGGTTAAAATACAAGTTATTCAATTTTTGTTTTATCATAGTATGCCATGAAATTTCAGATTTGTTTAATTCTATTAATTCTTTCTTTTTAATTCTATAATTCAATTCTATGTGCAATAAATTGAAAGTTCTTCTAATTCATTTCGAATTGAATGAATGAATACTTTTTATGAATTTTTTGAAATTGCCTAATTTTATTTGTGTTTTCTTTTGAGAACAAGAAGTGGAAAATTTTTAACAAATCAATGTTAACTGCATGGTAAATAAAATTCAGGCAGATTTAATCACAAAATTATGGCCCTTTCATTTTCTTAAGAAATTACCGTTTAAATTATTTTGGAATTAATGCCATTCACTCATTCAATTCTATTAAACTCAAAATTCAAATTCATTCAATTCTATTAAACTGAAAATTCTAATTAACTCATTCATATAAAACAAAAAATTCAAAATAATTCATTGAATCCATTCATTCATGGCTCAAATTTTGAGCTTTAGTTAAAGGATTAATCCCAACCTGAGGGCCACTGTTCGCCGGGTGAGCTTCTGCAGATTGACGCGTGGCATGATTAGCTCGATGTCCTCCAAGAGGTTCCTCGTATTCGTGATCTGCACCTCCTGCATGAAGATATTCGGCTGCGTGCGATGGGCGTAGTAGGTGTACGAAACAAAGTAGCCGGCGAAGCACTGGAATCGATGGACCATCCCCGTCAAATACTCCACTACGGTGGCCTCTTTTTCACCAGCCAAACCAGGTGCAGCTCCTCCCGAAACGGAAACCAGCGGCTGGAAGCGAATGGGCAGCTGCATGGCCCGGCCATGCTTGATGTTCAGGAAGGCGTCGTGGGCAATCTCCAGGCCCAGATAGCCGTTGCCCACGTAGGGCGTGAAATCGCGTTCGCCGGCCAATTTTCCCGGTGACACGTGACGAATGTTGGCATCGAACTCGGAGTTGGGCAGAAAGAAGGGCGTCAGCCGGTCGTCCATGCACATGCTGTGGGGATCTGCAAGATATATAGTGGTTAAACCTGGACTTTAAGGCGGAGCTCACTCACCCTTCGGTTCGGGGGCACTGAGAAAGATATAGCGAAAGATCGGCGGAATCATGTAGAAGACCACACAAACGCAGAGGAGCAGGAGGAACAGGCGGCGGTAGGAGGACATGGTGCCCTCCGCCAGGCGCTTCAGGCGACGCATCACGTCGCCGGCGTCGAATTTGCTTTTCGCTGAGCGGAACAACATTTTCCAGCAGTAATTTCGGGCCCGGAAAATGTCGGAAAATTTAAATACATTTCAGACCATTATTTCCCAGTGAATGGCAGTTCCTATAGCGATGGCACAACTGTTGGCCCGTGAAATCGATATTTATCAAATCGATTGAGAACTTTTGATACCCTAGGTTTTTATTTTGAAAAATACTTATTAATGACAAAGTTTTATAACAAATTATATAGATTTATTAAGTCGCTCTGCTTTGTAAATTTGTACAGTCCTTTATTTGCTACCTGAGGTTTTTTTTTATCACTGGGGAGAATCAGTCACAGGTAAACAGTTTTCGTTCAACTCTTAATTTAATATTGCATTATAAAAATAAAACCTTTCCCATACCTCTACCCTTATCACAGTTCCCGGTCCTCCAAATCACGTACTGCGTCCCCGGACTAGAAATAAACAATGCCAATTAGTTGATAAGAAAGGTAAACAGATGGTTTATCCAACCTTTATGAACCAGAATGAGGACATAAAGTTGATCTTGTTCCAGAAACTCATATCGGAGCGAGGAAAAATGCCATGCAGATGAAGGTGGTGAACCGATATAAAGGGCGGCAAATGGAAACCAATAGTTGCCTCCTCGGGATCTATGTTCTTTGACCTTAGAAACACCTTCATTCCCGCCTCCATACGTTGCACTGGGGATACAATAAATGATCGTTATTATGCATACTAATCAACTGAAACGTGGCTTCTTACCCAATCCCAAATGGGATCTGTTGAGAGATCTGAAGCTTTCAAAGTGCTCCTTCGGAATCGCCAGGTAATGATGCTTGGCTGCAGGATATTTGTCCTTGAAGATCACATATTCATCGGTTTCCACCTCCAAAACTGGCGGAGGTCCTTGGCGATGGTGGGCAAAATCGCAGAAGAAACAGTCGCGAACCTCTGATGATAGCCTTTCTCCCTTGCCTCCAAAATTGTAGATCGATACCAAAATTATGAGGCCCAGACCAGCCAGGCCGGCTATATACAGTCGTCTCCTTTTCATAAAGTGTTCTGGCAGTAAAATCATAGTATCTTACGTTTATTTCTACGAAAAACTGATTAAAGATCGGTTTTGATTTTGGAGTGGAGTTGGGTAAACTGTTGATAAATTGAGCAAACACCTAAGCGGGGTATTAACCCTTTACCCTTCGAACGGTCTCATGTGCCATTCCAATGGAGTTGTTCAAATATATGGCGGGAAATAAAATTTTTTAATAAAAATAAAACACTACAGAAAAAATAACACAATATGTTGATACATTATCTATTAATTGTTTTTAATTAAATAAAAACCCTTTCACTAATGACTATTTTATTGAAGTCACCGTTTTCAGTCACTGATCTTTGATTTTCTTTCTGTCAAATCTTTTAATGTTAATATGTATTCTTAATATAGATAACGCATTTATATTTAAGTTAAATAAATCATCCATGACAGTTTTTGTTCTATTTTATTTTAATAATTCTTATGTATATAAATAAAGTCACGAGATGCAGTCACTGCTTTTGCTTCGCTGTGAATGGCATAATATATAATAAATAGAGGTGGGGAAATATTGATTAACAAAACATCGATGTTTAAAAATATGAAGATTTAAACTAATTTTTCTATTATGTTTAGGGGTCTTAAAAAAATGTTACTATTGAAGCGGAAATCATGAATGAGGGCAATTTCGTTTAAATAAAACTTAAATTGTTCATAAATATACCGCCAGAAAACTAGTAAACTAATAAAATTTCTAAAAATAAAGTTAGTTTAGACAGCTGTTTATTGCGTTATCTATATAAATATGAATATTTATATTAATAAAATTAAAAAAACATCGATGACTTCCAGCCAATCATCGCCTGCCACCGATACCTATCGAATCATTCGATGTTGGCATCGGTGCTGCTCCACCTCTAATTTAAGCATCCATCCAACCATTTATCCGTATTTCTTGAATTAGCGCCTCAATCCAGCCTTGGCCGAAGCTCAAGCAGCCTGAAAAGCAAGGGATCGCCGCCGGCCAGGGACACCAATCAAGGGAAGAGTCGGGATGTGGCCGCAAACGCTGGAAATGTCGCGGGACGAGTGCCGAGGCATGCTGCGTCGACTGGGTGAGAGCTGAGAAATGGTCCACGAAACTCTGGCCGCTTCCGGGGGCTTCCGAGGACTGCCCCCGGGCTTCTAGCCCACAGCCAACTAACCCGAATCCTCATCTTTACGTACGTTTTCGTTTCCGCCCCAGAACTCGAGTCCTATTCGCATGTGGTGAGCGTTTTTCGCGCCCAAGGAGCGCTGAGTGAAACCAAGGCGAAACTGCTGGAGGAGCTGCGCCAGCACTTCCACATCAGCCAGGAGCGCCACCGGGCGGAGGTGCGCAGGGCGGCCAACGACGAGCAGCTCTGCACGATAGCCGAAAAGTGAGCATCCATCCGGGGCAGCTGAAAAACCCTTCCAAAAAACTCTATATCTATGTTTATTCGCCTTTAGTGTTTGTGGTCCCAACACCTGGCAGGAATGGTCTCGCGAGGGACGACGTCCCTATCCGCTGCTACCGAGGATTAGTCCACAAACGGCGCTGAGCATCGTGGCCAACGATCTGGCGGCCAAAGTATCTGAGGAAAATGCCAAATTGGCTGCTCCGGCAGAGACGGCCATGCATTTCGGAGAAGCCCTCGTGGAGCAGGCCTCGCTGATGAGCCTGAAATATCCTCGGAGCGGCAGGCAGCAGGATCCCGCCCTGGTGATCTTGGAGGAGCCGGTGAGTTACATAATCCATCTGTGGGTATTAATTTTTCTCTTGCCTGCGGGCGAAAGCAAAGGTGCAGACTGTACCTGCGGTGAAAATCTAGTGGGTGGCATTGGTTTTACTCAATGCTGAAAAGTTTCCCAAGAGATAATCCGTGTATAAATATAATACTATGTGATTAAATTGATTTAAAAAGGAGGTAAAAGAATATAATTTTCCTAATTGTAAGTAAAATCTCCCAATTAAACCCCTTCCAATAGGAATTTCATGATCCAATCAGAACTAATTTAGACGGGAAACCAGAAATGGATTTTTCTTAATATTGTTTACAAAATTTACATTTTCGTTTGCACTTTTTATTTGTTTTCTTACGTTTTTCTAATATATTTTTGCTAATCAGCCATTTAACTTTAACTGCCATTAACAGAAAAACAGTGAGTATCTGTTAACTTCGCTGTTAACAATCTGTTATCGATAGAGGGTGAACATTCCCTGCCGTTCAAATCGAATTTTGAATGGGATTATATAACATGGGAAAAACTAAAACATTTAAAAAATGTTATTTAAAAATGTTTGAATGAAAATTTTAAGAAAATATTATTTAAAAATGTTTGAATTTAAAATTTTAGGAAAATATATAATTTTACATACTGTTTACATACTTTTTTCCTACAGAAAACTTTTTAATGATTTAGGTTTCCATTAAATTAATTTTTTTATAACCGTTGAAAAAACTAAAATACTTAAAAAAATATTTGAATTAAATTTTTAAGAAAATATATAATTTTTTTTTATTTTATTGCTTACATACTTTTTTCCTACAGAACACTTTTTATTATTTAGGTTTCCATTTTTTTTATAACCGTAAGTAAAACTAAAACATTTAAAAAATGTTATTTAAAAATGCTTGAATTAAAATCTTAAGAAAATACATTTTTTTTTTTTAAATTTTATTGTTTACATACTTCTTTTCTACAGAAAACATTTTATTATTTAGGTTTTCATTAAAATCATTTTTTTATAGCCGTTTTTCAATAAAAAATTATTTAATTTAATTTTAATAATAAAATTATTTTTTCCAGTTCAAAGTACCCGATGTGCCCAACGAGGTGAAGAAAATGACGCAGAAGCGCAAGGAGAACGAGAGCGGAGTGGAGGGCAAGCCGAACAAGAAGCGGCACATGCAGCAGCCACATCTGCAGGTTCCCCAGGCTCCACAGCAGCAGGCGCAGCAGCTGAGTCCATCCTCGAATCCGGCAAATGAAGAGGGAGAATCCGTGCCCGCGGAGAAGCGACTCACTCCTCGCACCCTTCAGCAGCGCTACTTCTATCAGCAGCAGATGAAGCACAAGCAGCGGCTGGCCAGCAAACGGAATCTGGCCAACAGCCTGGGCTCTCCCTCCTCCTCCGCCGGCCAGTCGGGAAATCCCCTGGGCGGCAGGAATGCACCATCCTCAGGGGGCGAATCCTCGCCAGGCAAGCGAATAGCTGCTCCCGCGAAGAGCGGGCGACGGGCGCAGAAGCAACTGCAGCAACAGCAGCAACAGAAGTTGCAGCCGCACCAGCAACAGAAAGTATTAATGCAATCGCCGGAGACGCCGGTGCCCAATCATCTGGTGGTGCAGCCGCATGTGGAATATGTGCTGGATGAGGCACTCAAAACGCTGGCGGCCAGCACGCCGCCCACGCCCACAGCCACGCCCCCCTACACTTTCCTCAACGATCTGAGACCCCTGGTGACGCTAAAGCCACTTAAGCCCGTAAAACCCATGGTCTATGGGCCGCAAAGTGGATCGGGAGCCACCGAAATCGGTTCGCCCACAACGCCGGGCTCTCGAGGCTTCGCCAATTCGCCGATAGTTTTCAAGGAGAAGCTGCAGGCTTCACCGGTGCAGGTGCAGAATCAAAGTACGCCTGTAAAGGATGCGCAGCCTTCTGCCGTTACTACGCCCACTCCCATTTCCACCGCCAATCTTCCGCTGGCCCCGCAGATCATCAGCGTGCAACAGATCCCGGCGCCGCCAATGGGCGCCAAACTGACCAGTTCCACAACTCCAACGTTGCTGCCGCCGGGCTCTAAAATCACGCCCAAGAAGTTCAATCTCCTGGAGGGCGATGCCAAACCCAAGACTTTGCCCAGCTCGGCGGTTCGTCTGCTACCTTACACCGAACCCATTGGAGGTCCTTTATCGCCGCTGAAGGATTCGCGGGTCACTCCATTGAGCAGCGCCTCCACAGTTAATATAATCAAGAATATACCGGCTAGCAGCTTGAACAACACGCTGATTACGCCGCTGCCCTCAGCGGGAACCACAAATCTCTTTAGAGCAAAGGTTACGACTCCTCAAATTAAGGGAGCAGTGAGTTCTGCTGGAGGAGCAGCCGCATCAGGAGCTGCTCCACAAATCCTAGGCAACATAAAGCTGACCAGCAGCTCAGGAGGAGCAGCAACCATTAAACAGGTTCCCAGCAGCGCCCTGCGAAACATCAAGATTTGCTCACCCAACGGCAAGGTGTTCCTGCAGCCTGGCAAGCTGCCAGCTGGAAGCATCATTCACAAGCTGAACAACACAAGCAGCACCACCACTTCCACAGCTGTTTCGCCCACAAATCAGCCGGCGAGAGAGCAGCAGAGGATCAGCATACAGAAGATGCAGATCCTTCAACCTGCCAATGCAAGTGGGAATAATAGTCCTAGTCCCACCAGCAGCACAGCAACCACCGCAACCACCAAGCAAACCAGCAGCAAACCCACCACGCTGACCTTCGCCACTGCGGGCGGTGGTAAGAACAACCTGGTCTTCCTGCCGGCGAGTGCGGCGAGTGGAATGAGGGCGCTCACTCTGGCCACCACCACCAGCAAGCCCAAGTCCAATGTGCTGGTCATCGGAGCCACCACCTCACCAGCGCCTGCGACTAGTGCTGCATCATCCCCGAATCCTGCAGGAGGAGGAGGCACGAAGCCCAAGCCGAATCAACTGATAACCGAGGACACACCCATCGATATTATAAACATGCCCATCATTGTGGCCGACAATGGCAGCGCCACGGAACTCAATCAGACTTCGGTCAAGAACTCGCCGCTCGTGGTGTTCAATGCCACCGATTGGGAAATGGAGCTTGATCAGGCGGCCACCAAGTCGGCCACGACGCCCTCGAAACAAACGCTAGACGATGTAATAATCGAGGAGGATGAAGACATCGAGGAGGAGATGGAGGAGCGGAACGAGGAGGAAGCTACCATGGACCTGAACAATAGCAGTAAAGTTTTACCCAGAGTTCGGAAAATAACACACACTGTAAAAAACTTCTGTTATTAACATGTTAAATGTCATTGACTTGTGTGTAAAAAATTGTATCCTACATAAGTTAGAAACATAAATAACACACACATGTCATCTGTGTTATTTACACAGCGTGTTTTTTACTCGGCGTGTTTTTAACACAATGAGTTTTTGACATGGTTTCCTAGAGTATAAGAAATGTAATTTTAATTTGGTTTAAAAACACAGTGTGTAAAAAAAAGTCGTGTTAATAACACATTGGTTTTTTTTTAATTTTAACACTTTTGTATTTGACACACATGTCAACAATTTTGTTCACACTGTAAAATACGTTTTTTCATGTTTTTAGCATGTGTGTTAAATTCCGAACCCTGGTTTTACCATAATGAAATGAAAGGGCTTTCGAAACTAATCCTTAATCTTCTATCTTTTCCAGTCATTGAACTGCATCCGGAGGACGAAAGTGCCATCGAGTATGTGGACATGGATTTGGAGCAGCCCATTGAGATCGAGAGCACCAGCAACATATCCCCAGAGACGGCCACCACCACCTTGAAGGCAGCTATCGTCTCGGCATCTCCGCAGCAGCAGCAGCAAAAGAAGCAATTGGAACAGCCACTGGCCACAGGAGCAGCTACCCTTTAGATTGGCTAACCAATCGAGAATTAAGTTACCTTAAAGGATCCCCCATTTCGAGATATTCGAGTGAGAGAACGCACACAGCAGACCCGGTTCGAATTAGATTTAGTTAGTAGTTTAGCGTCAATGTCGAGAGTTTTCCTTTATTACTTTTAATTATCGCAACCCGCAGCCTTGGAGCAAAGTGCAAGATTATCTATGCTAATTTGTGGAGTCTAAGTTAAAGATGAGCGTAAAGTTAAGTTGCCAAATCACACACAACCACCACTGTTTTAAACATATATTATCGTATAGTGAAAAGTATACCCTGGAATTCGTGTTAGTTTAAGTTGAACTCTTTCATTTCACCTTTCATTCAATCCTGCAATTGTCGGAGCCTGGAATCGATCCACCTTTCTCTCCTGTAAATAGGGCAGATGCCCCAGCAGACTTACCTTAATTTTGTATAGCTTGTAAATAGAGTCCACACTTCGCCCCCCGTAAACCCATCATATTTTTGCCTAGCATAATTTCATTGTAGTTTAGTTGCCTAGAATTATCCAGAGTGGAAGCAAAATTGTACACACACAAAAAAAATTCGAGAATCACGCGAGAAAGTGAGAAAATTGTTTAAATGTTCAACTTGAAAGATTTCTTAATTATGTATGAGATTATAGACCCTAGTTGACCCAAACCCAAAACCGAACATGTAAATATCAGATGAATTTCGAAATGCAAACCTAATATCGCATAGTTAAATATACATATGTATAGACACCTAGTTCGGCTAAGAAGAACCACAAATGTTTAGAGGAAACGAAAAGAAAACTCATGCCACACACACACACACAGATGATTAACCTTTAACGATTTATAGATGTTAAGTATTTTATGCGTCGATTTTGTAAATCCAAATCTTAAGAGGAGTGTTGTAACTTTTAGACCAAGCCCCTAAATGAAAAAAAACAAACGGAAACGCCATCAAAAATCTGAGAATTCCTCCTCTCCACAGAAATGAGCAGAAAAGTAAAGAGATGTAATACAAAAATATTGTTGAACGATGCGTGTCGCTGTAAAATTTTTAGCATAGAAATTTTAAACAAAATAAATTTAAATGTAATAAAATATGAGGTGTTTTTATCTATTCTTCCATCGATATTATCGATTTAACCCCCGGAATTACAAAATCTACAACATTCTTTTGTCTTTTTTTAATGGTTATATATGTACAAACATATATCAATATAATTTCATTAATGCACAATGCAATCCTGCCACTTAACATGTTAACTTATTGCTGTTGCCAGAGAATCGAGTGGTGATTGAAAAATAGTTTGAAAAATATGTGTGTTTTTGCTTTGTATAAGAGCTTGGTTAAGAAAAGACGAAAACCAAACCGTAAAAAGGGAATTAGTCTAGGTTCGAGGATCAGTTGTTTGTTTTAATTGCGACCCAAGGTCGTGCCCCGTCCCCAAGGACTTTCGGGTGCCTGTCGCGGTGGTGCTCTGCTCTCGGGCGGCACGCCAAAGCCACCGAAGCCGCCGGAAATGTCCGGCACAAGGCTCTTTCTGCAAGGGGAGAGAAAATATTTTCTTATACCTGCTTTTTACATTACTTAATTCACGTTAACTTACAAAAACTGAGGGGTTTCCAGCAGGGCAGTGCCGCCCAGATCCTGCGAGTACTGGAACTTGAAGAAATAGTACACGTGGCCCACGAAGATGCCCACCAAAGAGGCGAGGGAGCTGGAAGATATTACAAAGATGCAGATAAATCCATAAACATAGCAAATAGCCACCACTTACAAGTGGAAAATGAACTCAAAGGCGGCGAGAACCCAAGGAAGGTACATGGCCTTGAATCTGGTGCCGAACCAGAAGCTCACGGTCACATCCTTGTTCAGCTGGCACCAAATGTAGGTGATGGCCAGGACGAGCATGTCCATGAGGAAGTAGACATTGAAGATCATTCCACCCACATTGGCCAGCACGGCTGAGACGATGAGGAGATATAGATAATCCGCTGGACTACGGCTATACTGATCCTTCTCCAATTTCGAGCTAAGAAACAACAAGATAAAGGTCAAGTTACATGAATAAAAACATATGATATCAACCCACCTGTACTGCACAATAAAAAAGCAGTTGATGAGGAAGTGAAACGCTGTATTTGAAGAGATCGGGAACACGAACAGTGACGTCACACAGCGCCAGAGCTGCAGCTTCCCAAAGACCGCCGATCGGTCCAAATGCAGCCAATGGAGGGGCAGAATATCGAAGCGACAGGCCATACTCAGCACCACGGTGGCCGTCAGCCAGTAACGGGTGAATCGGGGCAGCGAGCGGTACCACACGCCAGCGTCCATTGTGTCGGTTTCTCTGTTTATTTGTGTTTAATTCATAAATTTGTCAGTTTTCACTCCGGATGATTCTGTATTTTTTTGTTTTTGCCCTTGCTTTACGTGTCTTTCCTGAGATGGACCCTGTGGGCCGTTCGTGACTATCGGCTTGGGGTGACCGTACTCTGCACTGCACGCGCTTTCCAGTGAATGTCGCATTCTGCATTTCAATTTTAATTTTCTGAAAATAATTTCTAATTCGTTATCAATATTTGTAAAAAATATCTTTTAGACTTAACTATAAATATTAAATAGAAAATTTAATTATTTGATTTTAACGATGTTTCTAATTCGTTATTAATATTTGTAAAAAATATCTTTTAAATTTAACTATAAATATTAAAAAGAAAATTGAAACGATGTTTCTTAAAATAAATGCATTTAAAAGTAAATAATAATGTAGCAAATAAATAGTTTATAATCACAACTTAATTCAAATGTAAAAACATTTGTAATCAAATAACAACTTCCTTTGTAATATTTCAAGCTTTATATTATTTTTTCCTAGTTCACAACTTTTTCTGCACATTGATAAAGCAAAACCAAAAATTAAGTGTTCTCTCTTTTAATTTATTAAATTAAAATTAAGATTTTTTGTATTAATTTATTTAAGTCTGTAATTATTTGTTCCCTTAGTATCTAAATCTATTGTTTCATTGCTCTAAATAAATACATTCTTATTGATGGATTTAAGCGATTTTTCATCATTATTTTTGGTAATCCCCTTCCACTTTTCACCTTTGATCCCGCAATTTGTGATTTTTTGTGGTAACATTTGTGAGGACTGACAAAGCGGTGGGCAACAACAAAGCGCGCACACACATACTAACACACATGCAGGACACTTAATTCATAACAGAAGAGAGCACACAAATAAATAGCGAAAATTTGTTTTTTGGCAACTTTTTGTGGTATCTTTGTGGAGAAGCCTTTGTTGGGCATCCAAAAAAATGAAATTTTTGGACAGGTAAGAAGCGTGTGCCACTCACTCTCACACATACAGCACACAGGCACACACGAACGCACACGATTGCAATGCAGTGGTGCGAAATTAATGAACTTGGAAATTGTGCGCTTTTCCAATATCCTGAATTCTCGAGTGGACGCCGCTGTGCTGATTAATTTTCAACAAAAAATCCCCAACTGTCACACAGAAGATTATTGAGTTCTCACATTTGCTTGGCTAATTTTTGTGAATTTTTTTTTAACGAAATTATTGCAAGTTGCAACGAAAGTAAAAGCCGGTTTTTGAGCGAAAAAGTAAAGTTCACATTTTTCGAGTGCCGATGCATTTGAATGGCCATTCTATGGGTGTGAGTGAGCTGGCGATAGTTGGTGTGGGTGCCTGTTGAATTTCCAGCGAGAGCGAAAGAGAGATGGCGAGAGAGCAACAGTAACAAAATGTCGAGGCTAATCAACTGTACGTGTGTGTGTGTGTGAGTGAGCGAGGACACACCCACCGATTGGCTATACGAAAATATGGATGCTAGAGCAGTGCGACGCATGCGCTGCCATTTTGTGCGCCGACTGCGCTGCTTCTGGCCATTTGATACGCCCACTAACGGTGTTTCCATGCTCATCATCGAGTTGTGCCACCCATACACACACACCCGCCCCCGAGCACACATATATTGCATACATAGATGGGCTCTATTTACCCACCCGTTGAGCCTTTTGCCCGGGAACTCAAAAAACTCACCTGGATCTCTCGGTCCACCTGGCTCCGTCATTTTGTTGTTGCCGCTGACGTAGGTGCACGGCGAAAAATAGCATAATTATAATACTATATTGAATTTTGGTAAGGAAATTGTACAATGAATATGATGAAAAATATCAAATTGCCATTTATTCTGTTTCGAATTTGTTTTTCAAAGTTGTACCAATCTATTTTCTTTTGTACACACAAAAAAATTTGCTTCGTAAAATTGACCAACAAAGATAGTTACGTAACTATTAAAATAGTTACGTGTATTTTATTTTGCTTTGGGTTTGTGTCTTTGCTAATTGTGTGTATTTTGTTGTTGTGAAATGACAATTTACTTAGTAGAATTGACAATTTTGCTGGTTGGGGCCTGTTTGACAATTATTACAGTTGATTTAACCAAGTTTTTTTTTTGTGTGTAAGATTTACAAATTATGCTTATTTTAAGAGTATTGCAAATATATACATATGGTTGAATTCTTATAAAATTTCTTATAATTTAATGAGAATTGTTGAATAATAAAAAATATAGAGGTATATAAACACTTTTAATTCTGAAAAGGTTTATACGAAATATACGAAATATACACACAAAAAAAAAACTTAGTAAAATCAACTGTAATAATTGTCAAACAGGCCCCAACCAGCAAAATTGTCAATTCTACTAAGTAAATTGTCATTTCACAACAACAAAATACACACAATTAGCAAAGACACAAACCCAAAGCAAAAACAAAATACACGTAACTATTTTAATAGTTACGTAACTATCTTTGTTGGTCAATTTTACCAAGCAATTTTTTTTGTGTGTAGGTTTAAGATTTATTTTTATAATCAAAAATCATAAAACTTTCCACAAATAATCGGTGGTAAAAGTTCGACTATATAATCTTATCCAATTTAATTCCAATTCTTTCAGTGTGCTCGCTCATTTCGTTGCGTTCTATGTAGAGATGGCAAAGTCTCCTCCTCTGCTCCTTCATTGCGTCTTTTATTTAATATTTTATATGCAAACATTTTATCCCTTTTCCAACTTTTGCTGTCGTCTTTTTTGCCTGCCTTGAATTTTGGCTTTTGTCCATTTCAATTGCTGTAATGAATGCCATACATATCTCCTCTCCTTCGTCGTCTTCATCCCCTGCTCCTCTTTCTCCTCTTTCCTCCCTCCGTTGTATTGTTGCAGACACTTGAGGTGTGGAAAATGCAAAAAGTTGATTTCTTGAGCGCTTTGCGGAAAAGTCTCATGGAATAGTTGTCATTATTAAATGGAATCTTTTGCCTGAGGAATTCTGGCAGTTGATGGTTTAATTTCTTAGAAATATTACTGCATTTTCAAATGATTTACAGCTAAATAAAACTCTAAAATGACTTGTAAAAGAAGTGTGTAATTCAATATTATTGAAGGACAAAACATTTGTTAATAATATTTGTCTCATCTTTTTGAGTGTCTTCAAAATCATTTTTAATACTGATCTAAAAAAAATAAAATCGTAAAAATCAATCTGAATACATCAAGCCTTAACTTCTTATAAATGAACATAAATAGTACCTGGAGAGAATCAGGACCTTTTCAGATCGTTTCTCAAAGTGGAGAAATACGAGATCGCTTGCCAATTGTGAATTCTCATCGTGTTTTCGTTACGCATGGGAATTTCGTGCAGGCTTTTGACATTTGCCTTGCATCTAATTACTGTAATTATTTGATTAAAAAATCTCCCAGGGTGCCCAATCGTTTCACCTTTTCTCTTTCACCCTGCCCTCTTTCTCCCTCCCTCTTTCTCTTTCTCCATCTCCATTACAGGGAAACAATGGCCTCACATGCGAGTATTTGTATTCGGGTTGTCATGGATTCGGGTGAAAATTCAGATGCGGAGCATATTTCACATGCCCAAGTTGGAAACTGCAAAAAAATGCGATTCCATAGGGCATTTAGTTGTATTTCTCCTCTATTTTTGCCTTTGCCCTCCGATTTCGATAATGGCCCAGCGGGAGAGTGAGACGGAAAGAGCGTGAGAGGGGGCACCCAAAAATATAAAAAAGGACCAAATGAAAACTACGACTGTAAAGAAAATACAGTAGGTTCTGATCCTTGGAGAATTTAAAAGGAAAAGTTTTAATATTACTATTATATTATTACACTTATAAAAGATTAAAAAATAGTCATTTTAATATGGAAATTTTAGCAAAGACAAGAGCATTTTTAACTATTTGAATAAGAAAACAAAACTACAAACATAAGAAAGTTATTAGCAGGGACCGAAAATAATCATTATTTGAGATTTTTATTTTAAAAGGCCTACTGAGGTTTTTACATATTTTAATCAACAATTTAACTGGTTTTTATGCACTTTATAGACATGAACAAATAACAGTTAATTTGCTTTCCAGATTTGTTGAAATGCATATACTTTGTGGACAAGAGTAAAAAGAACGTTATTTTTGACGTTTAAAACAAAATATCACAGTAGTCTTTCTAAAATAAAAATCTCAAATAATGATTATTTACGGTCCCTGGTTATTAGAAATATAATAATTGGTAATATTCCCGCAAAGGTATGCTACATTTATTTTATTATTATCGTTTTGGCTTGTTTAACTGATTACATATTAAGTTTAAATAAATAAATAATTTATTAAATTTTTGGCAATTAAAGCAGAATCTCATTACATATTAGATCTCAATTTTTACATTTTTAGTCTTCTAAATAACACTTATAATAATAGGCTTTCAAGCTTTAAGAATTGATGTTAGATAATAGTAAACTTTACATGGTGACAAAATAATGACCTTCCTCTCCTCGAGCGACCACTGTACTCACCTGTGTAAATGAGAGCGCAAAAAGAGGCAAATCACAAGAGCAGCAGCCCGCGACGATGCCAAATTGCAGTGCAAATATGTACACACCCATGAGGAGTGCAGGGTGGTGGGGGAGGGGGTTAAGGATACCCGATGGAGTGAGGTTATGTAGGGGCAAGGCAAGCAAGCAAGCGCTTAGTAAAAGGACAGTCAGCAGCTGCAGAATCAGGAAGAAGAGAAGAGAGGCAGATGATGAGCATGATGGCGTTAATAGCACACACACTCACTCGCACTCACACCACCTTTTTCCCCAGCTCTCTCTCCCTTCCTCATCCTCTTTCACCCACCCCACCCCAAGGTGCGAGCGGGACGCATTACATGATAATGACGTTTCGCGGCTCTCCTCTCCCGATTTCCAGCTGTCAGTTGAGCGAGAGCGAGAGAGCGCGTCGGATGACTATATCTTGTTGCTTGCTTTTTTGACTTTACCGTCGGCATTATGCCATTTTCGTGTGGGTGTGAAAGCGAGACAGAGCAACACAGCACGCTCTCTTATTGATCAAATTTACCGTTGCCTTCGCCGTCGCCATATT